CCCTTCCCGCCCCTGGATCGCTGTTATAAACAGCGATCGCGAGCTCGTACAGATCACGGGATACGTAAATACTATCCTCCGATGTATTCAATCTTCCCCAGCCGGCGATTAATTAATCAAGCCGGACCATAAATATTCATCGGACTCTAACGGGCATCACAAAGGGGAAAGCTTGCGATTCTTCCGCCGGTGAAGCCCGTCGCCGCGGGCGATACGATCCAAACCGGCGATCTCGGGGGAAGCGTTCAACCGCGTAGTAGGGATATTTTCGAAGATACGTATACAGGGTGTATTTCGTAGATGCATGTCAATGCTAGGTAAATCGACGCGCTAAACCAAGTGCATAATGTAATCTGATCATACAGTAAGTAAAAAATGTATTCGCGCACCCTTTAAGACGGAACAAGTTTTTTTACAATTGTACCAAGTGACTTGAGTCTTTTTGTGAAGTTAGAGGGATTAGTTTACTGAATGGTGTGTCAAAAATTTTGAAAATTTGCAATTGCTCGGAATAACGAAGAAATTAGTAGAGGTCGCTTTTTACATTTTGTTGGTGGTAAGTAGAAACGGAATGCAATGAACAGACGCGCTAGCAAAGTCCGATTCGACTGCACGCATATCCAACATCTTTTTACTTATTTTTTCCCTGTACAACATATTTTCCATAGCTTCATAATTACAATTAAATTTCACCAAAAATCCTTACGGGTCTAAAAATGAGATCGCCATTATATTGAGCAGTTCAAAATCACGCAAGTAAACTACCAGTATTAACTCGATCAATATTCGAATTTTCCAAATTTCGTTGGCCAGTGTAAAATCAGCGAGTTCGAATATTCAAGGCGAGAAATTATAACGAATCAGTATCAAGAGGAGATGTGAATTCACAAAACCCCAGAAGAAAAATACAATTCACGATACCTATACGGTAAAGTAGCTTCGATCTCGTGCAACTGAGAGTCGGTAAACACGTAGCCGCAGCCACTCGACAAACCGCTCCCATCCCGTTCACGGTCGATTGTTCTCCCCGTAGGGAGAAAGGGTTGGGATGGATGGGGTGGGGCACACCGAAGAGAAGTGTACGTAACGCTTTCATGGAGTATCCCTCTCGCATGGGTGATGCGAAAAAAAAGGCATCCCGGATTCGCGAAGAAGAACGGGGAACGACTGCTCGAAGGAGTACTTCGAATTTATTCGAAAGCAACCTCGTTACGGTGCGCGGGCCGGCGAAATAGGTCGCGTGAAAACACCGAGGCCGTTTAAAACCGCCTCACCGTGCGATTTAACGTCAATGGGCCACTTCTCGCCCCCTCTTCCACCCCCCGTACACCCCCTTTTCCCTTTCGCTGGGCTGCGGAACCTCCTTCTCGGTCGTCTGCCTCCTTTCCACGTGTCTTTTCTCCTTTTCGTTTTCCTCTCGCGGGGGCTGACTCGAGACATTTAAACCAGAAATCGTGGCACCGCGGACCCTTGGAACATCTTTGCTTTCGGTGGCTCTCGCGCCCCTTTTTTTGTCGAAGGAATGCGTGTTCGAAATGCGTCTCTTTCAACAGTATCGTTACTGGTAAAACATACGTGTACATGGCTGAGAGACGTGTGGAGTATGAGGTAGACAAATGAAGACCGAACACGCGTGATTATTGGCTCCTGAACCACCCTCCGACACAGTACCAATCGATCTTTCCGTTCGTGGATTCGTCACCCTACGTGTCTATTTTTCCCTTCGTTGCCTTCCATTGTAAGAGACAGATGAAAGATTTCCCTTGTCGTCGAAACAAATTATAACCGTTTGACGAATACTATTATTACGAATGTCGATTTTCATGACGAGCATTCCATCAAACACACCCTCTTCTCCGTACGCGGAGAAAGAGAGCGTAAAAATCTATTCCCACGGGCGCACAGTGGTCCAGAATCAAAATTTACCGACTCATATGCTCGTTTAGGTCAAGTAATGAAAAAGGTTTGAAACTTATAGTTCTATTTCGTCATCGTTCGCTAACAGAGTTCTCAGTATCTCCATTGAAAGCATTAATTTTTAGAGAATTTTGTCTGCATGTTTTACCGAGATCGACGTTACGAACGGGTCTGAGAAGAACAATATGGAACAAATTTTCCATGGTTAATAGTAGCTTGATAAGAGTTCTTTTGAAAAATAAAGGAAAATTTGTTTTTAACCATTAGAGCTGCTAAATTTTGACTATGGACCACGGATGGACGTCTGGTTCGATTAAATTTCAGCTAGCCCGTTGCATGCTCTCTCCAATTTCTGCTATAGTATCCGAATCGAAATCGAAACGATAAAGACATATCGATACAGGGTAGCGAAAGAAAGTGGCGGAATTGTGGCAGCTCGTCGTTCATCGTCTTTCATTATTAACGGTTCGCGAGCACGTACGCGGGTACTTCGCCATCGTGGAATTCCGTGGGGGGTGTATAAATGACTTGCACCCTGAAACTTACTCCCGGAGCTATAGACACGGCGGATAACCTTCGTTCGTGGGCGACCTCGATCGAAGTTCATCCCTTCCGTCCGCTAGCGCGCGCGGCCGAAATACCGATCCGCAGTTCCTCCTTGCGACAATGTCGACCACGAACCCTTTACATACACCACGCTAAGCGTTCTGTTGTCTCCATTAACCATCCCCGTGGGAACAAAGGGCGAGAGCGATCCCGTCCCCACGCGACATATAAAAGAACGAAATGGCCTTCGAACCGCGGTAAGAGACACTACGAAAGAAATTCATTCGACCCGGACTATTAGCCCGCCGAAGAACGAGCGCCAGTGCTCCGTGGGGTTAAAGGGGGGCAAAAAAAATTACGTCCAGACGATAGTGTGGACTACAAGGTGTGTATGTATAGTTCCGAATAATTGGAATAATCAAGAATCGCAGGTACCAACGACAAATTGACGGCTCGTCGACGTCCACGTCATCGTTTCTAGCCGATAATCCAGGGTGTCCAGAGATCGTGCTCGATAGCAAACGATCCAGTCAACTTGCTCTATATTATTCTTGCGTCAGCCTATAAGAGTAATTCACTTTCGATCTGCCGTTAACGTGCTTACCGTTTCTATTTGCACTGCGGGTAAGGAATAGCGAGGTAAGTCTAGTGGGGCAGGTGAGTTAATAAGCAAGAAATCGAATTCTTTGTGCACCGAGAAAACGAGATCCAACAGGGTTGTACGTTTTCGTGGTAGAAAAACGAATATTCCAGACTCCGCGGATGTTACTTGTAATCCGTGAATATGAATACCACGAATACTGCTGGGTTTTTTTGAAAAGGCCCCTGCCAATAAATTCGAGCTAATTAAAAGTATCGACCGAGAGGGTAGGTCTCTCGTCTCAAGAGTATTTACGCGGAGTTTTCGCGGTTCCCCACACCCCCTTTGCAGCTTGGGGTCGCTTCGAGTATCCGCAACGGGGACGAGAAGATTAACGTGTCACCCGGAAAGTTCGCGAGGTTAATTAGCGGAAAATCGACGGGAAAAGCGGCCGCATATTTTCGGGACCGCGGGAGATCGAGGTCTTCTCTCGATCCCAGCCGCCGGGAACCTGGCCCGAACTCGATTACGAGCGTTGTTTCGCCACTTAAATTAACGCCACAGCGAGAGAAAGAGAGTTCCTGCGTCGATAAACCGTCGTTGTCGAATTAATAACTGATCCTAATTGAATTAATAATCCGTTCGACGCCCTTTCCACGGAAATTGTAATAGCTGCTGCGTGGTGGCTAACAAAATACGGAGTGAGCTATACCTACAGTTATTGGTTCCTGTCCAATTATTGGCTTCCTCTTCGCCCCGTACCAGAAACGGGAACGTTCTATCAAACCGCTGGGTGAAACTAGGCATTTTTTTTAACAGGAAACACTCCTCCCCCTCCCCTTGCACCCCTTTCATGGAATACGTATTTGCCTCTCGACCGTTCCACGGTGCTGGATAAGCCGCAGAAATGACCCTCGTTCCGCATTTAATCCGGCATGGATTCGATCAAGTACCGTCGACTAACAACAGACAAACGGCGACCTGATAATCGCGGATTTCAATGCAAGGACTGTTGGGAAACACGCACAGGTAGACGAAACCAACGAGCTCGAAGGTCCCCCGCGTTACGAGACGCATTCGAAGGAGTATATTTCCTCCGAAACTTTTGACCTTCGTTAAAGTAAGGGTAGCCATCAACGTGCAATCGATGTCCATCGAGCCTGACCTCTTTGACCGTAATAATTTCAATGACTGCAAAATACCACATAAAAATTCCGTAATTTTGACGGGTTTGATGATTACTAGTGGTAATCGAGAGCTACGTGTACCTAAACAGTAGGGAATCTGTTCGTCCAAGGAAAACTAGTCGCGGAGGAGGTCGATTTCGGAGACTTGGTCGCTAGGACACACGCCGAGGAGAGCGTTCGACGAAAGGAAAGCAAATTGTGGTATACATATATCTCAGACTCACCGCTTCTTCCAGTAGGTGTAGGCGCGGACGTGGATCGTCCGGTCGGTTCGGGGATCGGGAATATCAGATCGCAGCACTCCCGCTCGGGGAACTCGCTTGCGCGGGTGCACCTGCAGCAGCATGACAGGACGACGAGCGCCGCGGCGACGCTCGTCAAAAGCGTCGAGCGCGCTAGAAGCGTCCCGACGACACGTGACATGACTCTGCCCATCAGATCATGATAAAACATCGGTCCTGTTGTTCCGTTCAGTCTCTCCGTATCGCGGTCCCCGTCGAGGTGGTGTTCGCGAGCCTTCGCACGGCCAGGCGGAGCCGGACGACGACGTCGAATCCCGTGTAATCCACGCGATACCCTCTCGTCGTCCGTCTCATCGTGCGCCGATGCCTCCTCCACCTTCGTTCCGATCCAATGTACACGAATCACACTCGTGGCGATCACGACAGGGCCTCCGGTGAGACGATTCCCACTTGTACACAGCCGTTAAACCTAGCGACGCGCACACTTTGCTCTCCGAGATGTCCTTCGTAAACGACGATCACACTTCCTCTCGATTTTAACGCGAAACTATCTCTCAACGAGGATAGCTTTCCATCGAGAACATCCTCGTCGGGTGTTCTATCCCTTTCCTTCGAGAATAAATCCTCGATCACTCGCGGCGCGCACAGGTGTGGAACCGAAACCGCGCGATTCGAACCGGACGAACTAACCGAGGCAACGGACGACGACACTTTGGATCGACGTCGATCGCGGACGAGCGATGATCATCGTGGTTCGACGTGTATCTGTCAATGTGTTTCGTGTATGTGTATGTGTGCGTGCGTGTGTGTGTGTGTGTGTGCGTGTGTGTGTGTATGTGGGAGTTATGGCTACAGGAAACGCGATGCGACAAACGTCGCGAGCACTTCTGGTCTTCCTCGTGTCGCGTCCCGCGGAACACACTTCGGCGCGCGCGTGCTCACCTTCCGACCGTACTACCGGGCCGAGACCGCGTCGCCACGGTGTCCCGACGCCCAATGACGACTACGCCGCACCGCGTACGACCGAGAACCGCGCGCTCACCCCCACCCTCTACCCTCCCTAACCCTCTTCGTACCTGCGAGCAACCCCCTACCCGCCAACTTACACACGATAGTTTCTGCGCGAAAGTGTGCGCGTTCCCGGCGTTCCGAAGCCTGACGAGGAGAGACCACCTCTCTGTGTGTACCTGTGTACCTGTTCGTGTCCTTGCACGCGACGCTTCCCCGTGTGCGCACCCCCCTCGACCACCCACACCGCGGGTTCTTTTCGTCCTCCACCGCCTCCGCCTATTCCACCACCGTTCACCTCGTAGACGGAGTACAGGTGCAACCGTAGTTGCTCGCAGGGGAACGTGTACATCTGCGCCGCGCGCGTTCTTGTTCTGGTTTCGGACACACCGCGTTCTCCTCCCTTTTCCATCTCTGTGTTTCGCGCGTTCGACGAAGGTAGATAATACCTGATTTGCTCAGCGAGCCCATTGATATCCGCTACTACGTACACACGTGTGTGACCCCTGTTTTACTGTATTTTTTTGTGGAGTAATGATTGGACACATGCAAATCTGTATGGCCAAAACCTCGTATCCACTCGTGCAACCGAATTTCCATTTGGGAGTCTCACAAAGGGTCGATGTATAATTATATCATAATATAAGTTTCACTCTTTTAATGTTCGGATAGGCACAACAACGAATAGACATTCCTTCTGATTTCCTACGATGCGCGTCGGAATACTCGTGTTCAGCTTGACGTTCCAGGAAACGTTCCATTAAAATCGACCCTCCCAAGAGTGTTGCAATGCGCGTTGCACGTGTGTAGCCCTGCCTTAATGCAACGTAACGCGTCTGTGTAGCTACACAAGCTCTCCCACGCGTGTCCAGGCTCTCTGACTAAGCATCCACCTTAAGACAGCTCATTAGGAGATAAGCGTTCTGGAAACGACGATCCTCCGTCTGTACAAGTCTACTATCCTGGAAACTCTGCTAACCGCGTTCGTGGTTCGATTTTATTAGCCCTTACCGCGAAAGAATATTCATATTCATGGTACAGGGGTGAACGTACACAGCCCAGCCGATAACATTTACGTGTTCACCCCCACGTGTTCCGTTGTGTAGCAACGCATAATCGTACGGTATTGTACTCCTCGTATATGCATTGCGTGCATCTTATCCGTAAGTTCGGCTCGGCCCAATATTGGTGTACCCGTAGTTATTGCCTGGCCTGTGTACGTGTCCTTCTAGTCGGTCACGTATTTGCTGTCTGTCCCTGCGCGCGCGCTCTGTCCCGACGCCGGGCGCGTCCTGTGTATACATATACGACATCGATGTAACCCGACGCTGCGCGCGGTGAGTTCGTGGAAACGACCGGGTCCGAGGGGATCCGAGATATTCCGAACCAGGTGGAAACTCTAACCCCCGTGGACAGGAGGGTGAACCAGGGGTGGCGGACGAGCGGCCCACCAACGACCCTCGTTCGTCGTACGGCGCCGTTCCTGACCTCGTTTCGCTCAGTTTGTCGAGGTCGGTTACGCGGAAATACCCGCCGGGCCCCGTCGAATACACTCCTTCCTCCCACACCCCCCGACCAGGCCAGCTCTGATACTGTCTTAACTGTTTTGTCGTGCGTTACGGCCAGCTTGATCCTCTTGTTGAATCGTCATTCCCTGACTGCTATGGGAGTTACGATCGAGAGGCTCGATTCTTCGACAGGCTTTAAGATTTCTGTGACGTGGAGAGGAATGTATTGGAGTTGTAGGGTTCAAAGATGTTATGGAAACTGGTGTTCCGTTGAACATTAAATGCTAATGGAATACAAGATAAATAACGACCAATCTTTCTCAGAGTGTTGAATACAGTTTTCATGTTTCCCGAATTTCCTTCGCTTTAATAGAATGGAATAAATATGTCGGATGGTTCAGCCAGCAATACCTGTCAGCTTCCTATTTTCGGCTGAGAAATTGTCGAAGCTAACCCGAAGCCCTAAAATCAATGAAAGAACCGGGTGAAATTTTTATCGTTTCCGAACCACTCTGAGGCGGAGACCTCTCATCAATATTTCATTGATCTATCACCGTTACTTCGGACCCGTTGCAATTTTAACGAACGCCGGCGTGTTAAGGGTTCTGCGTGGGAGCGTTAAGGGATCCGCTGGACAAATATGAATAACGAATGAATGAGCACAGTTTGGTGACTACGAATCGACGTACGAGGAACGGGACGAAATGTGTGTGTGTGTGTGTGGAGGGGGGGGGGGACTTTCGAGAGTGCATCGGAAGCGACGTACTAAAATTTCAGCCGATGAGTCAAACATTATCAATTAGGAAGAGTGATTGTCAGAATTCACGGACGGCATACGATCCAGACCCGCCGCATAATGCAGACGGGGTATTATTAATTTCGAGCCACCCTCCCAATTTCGAAAACTCGATATTCCGTCGACGACGCGAAAAACGCGTTCGATTCGATCGACGGTTGCATAATCGTGTACGACTACGAGCTAATATTGACGCGTAACATTAATCGAATTTTAATTATTTATTCGGTCAGTTGTTCGACGGTCACGGCCGATGGATAAATAACGTTCCCGTTCCGTAAATGTTGACGTCGTAGTACGAACTTCGGTATGGAAAGCGATAAAAATTTAGTGATGCGAACGGTAAGATGATGAAAGTGAACTACCCTCCTTGGGCAGAAAATTACAGGGATGCTAACGAGTCGGACGGTTTGAGTAGTAAAGCAAAATTGCTGCACGGACAAAACCCCGCGGAGTCAGTAGAATAAACCCACCGGTGGTCAGACTGAGAGATGTACATTCGGCACCCGGTGGAAGTTGTACGGTGGTCAAACGCGCCTGGCCGGTTTCAGAGGGGTGGGGAGAGGGTGGTGGAACTCGAGTCAGCACTTACGCGAATAATCAACTGGGGGTGAAGTTCGTGCACGCTCGATTGTAAAGTAATCGCTGAGGATATAAGCGGATCCTTATGCTCGAGCGTTTAATTAAGAGCCGAGTCGAAATCCTGCGAGAGTTAAGGAGCGAATTAACGTCCCTATGCAAATAATAAGCCGAAGGATTCTGTTCTTCGAAGAAACTCTAACCTTCCGTTCCCGCCCGTTCAAGATTAACCCTTTAACGCCCAGTGTTGCATCGGTGTAACACTCGTTTTAACACTAGAACTACCAGCATTGAATGTATGCTAAGTTAAATTGTGTAATATATTATGTAATGCAATATAGCTTAGTGTATTATAATGTAATGTGTATAACAAAATTAGAGGTTAACATAAATTCCGCTGAAAATATCTCTTAACATTTTAATTTCTCTTTGAATTCGATGATTTCGTAGAAAGCTTCGGGGTGAACCCACGATGTACATATATAATTTATCTCGCCTCTTATCCATTTTATTTTATGATTCCTTGTCCCCCCCCCCCCACCCCTCCGAAAAAAAAGAGTGAACGAAAACCGATGACTTCTGTTTGTGCAGTGAATTACGATCGATCGAATGGCCTATGAGAGGAACATTATGTAATTGGGACGCGGACGGTAAATTCGTACGTAATAAATATCGTCTGGTGTCGAGAATAAATCCGTGAGTGCCTTTTGTTGTTGGTGAGAAATACTCCCTCTCTTAATGCGACACAACACAGGCCGTTGAAAGTGAAATAAAAATAGATCGACGCCTCGATAAAGAGCGAAGAATTAAATTCGATAGTATACGCTATCAACGGCTCTTGAACGATTTACTGTTTACACCGCGGTAATCTAGTGGTTTGCAAGAAAAAAAAAATGTTCTACGCGCACTCCGTGGTTATCTACAAAAGCGACTCTCGAGAACGATGTCTCTTTATTCGAGAGCACGAGGTGGTCGCGTGCCAGCCAAGCACCGACGTATCCACGTTGTATGTACATCGATAACGCGCGCGAATGCATCGCGATGGGAGAATCACGATCGTAAAACATCGAAACGATCGAGCCACGAGTGACGAAGTAGTCGTATACGATAACGTGTGTCCGCCCCTCTTCCCGGATAAGTGCTCATCCAATTTGCATCGATGTGTCGATATGTTGTTTAAGGTTGTAAATAGAATCAATTACCGTCGGTTCCGTTAGATTATCGCGTCTTCACGGCGACAGTATTTACTTTGTCATAGATCGTCGTAGTTAGGTAACTTGTCATTTAACGATCTCACGAATCTGTGCGACACTTGGGTGC